ATTTGCAGTCCTCTTGTTCTTAAGTATTCAAGATGTCATGTATGAAGTAGTTTTTATTTTTCCTCCAGCAACCTGTGGTGTGTGTAGCAACTACCATGCTCCTGSCTGTCAAATGCATTTTTCCACAATTACTTTCCCTGCTCCAGAGTCAAACAAGGTTAAAATAGCAAGGAGGTTTTACCAACAGAATTCTTGATGGCTGTGRATTGCCACAGGAAGTAGTAGGTGGTATTACCAGACATGACGCTTAGGAGGCAAACTTTTGTTTCAGCCAGAAGAAAAYTTAAATAAGAGGAAGCTGGAAGCCAGGAAAATATAAAGAAAAATTTCATATGTACTTGCTCTGTATTCCCTCTCTCCTAGGCATCTGCCTACCATTTKTTTTTGGAAAAAGGATAGTAATCTCAAACAGTTTTTGGTCTGAGCTAGTATAACCATTTTTAAGGTTTGGAAGAGCAGTAATTTTGTCTAAAATGGAAATAATTAGTTGCAACAAGTTGTTTGTTCCTAGAACATCCTGTCTTGGAGCCCAGTTTCTGCTTCTACAAGCAGCTGCATTATCATTTCCATTAATCACAAATAGTTAGGTAATAAATAGCCACTCAAACTGAATAATATATCAGTAATATTGTTGGGGGTATTTTAGCAGGAATKCAGCATACCACATTTTTGTCATGAAGTTTTTGATTTCTAAATGTTTCAAATTTTTTTTGTTTGATTTTGTATTTAGTTGACCTATAGTTTGGGTAGTTCTCCTTAGATATTTCTTCCCCGGTACTGATCAGTCACTACTGAGTGAGTATGCCCACTCTTAGCTCGCCAATGCCCTAATTATTTTCAGGGTTTATTGTCTTTACTTGGTTCTTGATAAATCCATATTTCCCACTCTCTACTAAAATCTGATCTGTTTGTAAAAGATAAGGCTCTGGGTATGCAACCTTGTAGTACTTTGCCTCTCACCCTGGCCCAGAAGCTGTTCTCAGTCAGATCAGAGAGTGTAATGGATACATTACGAAGCTTTTCTTCTCTTCCCCACCCATCAGAATCCAAAAGGTGACAACAGTCTCCTAAGCAATCATATTATTTCATCAGTGGATTTGCACAACCACAAGAGTTTGAAACTCTGCGAAAACATCTGTTTCCTGACAGGTTAGTTTTATTATTCCTGAAGTAAACTTCTAGAAAATGGCTTAGTGTCCTTAACAGTAAGAATCCAACAGGCTTGCTGCTAAGTGGAAAAGTTAATTTTTTTTGTGAAGGCACAATGCAGCCACCTGTGTACTATTACAGTGTGGAAATTAGTCATTTGTCTGGTATAGCTTTTGGTCTGACAAGTTCTGGAGGTAATAAAACAATCCTCATTTTTGTGGGTTTTTAAGTCGACTTCCCTTCTCTCTCCACCCACAAATGCCACGCACATGCCTCTCTTAACCATGCTGGGKTTTGTACTGTTGGCTGAACTTGCTCATATCGACTTGTAGAGATTTTTTTTCTCTCACCCTACTTACAGGATGAATTTGAGGGAGGAATGCAGTTCTCCTTTGTGCTTCATTTTCTATGTGTTTAAGTTACAGCCCCAAACTTGGTATTGATTTTAATCGTTACAGTCTTTTAATTCATGATTTCTAGTATGAAGAAACACAAAATGACCTGTTTTCATGACTACGTTACTTCTCCAAACTAGAAGAATCATTACATTTTAGCCAGTTAGATTTTATACTAGTGTACAATCCTTTCATTTGAAGAGAACTCCTTTTCAGAGGCTTAGCTGACTAGGCTATAGCTGAATAGATTYTTTTGGTATTTAGACTGAAGATTAAAATGCAGCCAGCTCATTGAATGTGCTGGTAGTTGTAGCAAGGTCTTGCCTAATCTTCCATCTGTGAAGGGTTCCTTTTGTAAAGAAATTTCTGTTTCTTTTCTTGCTGGTGGAGAGGAAAATGGCCTTGAAACAAGTTTTGTTAGAAGAGCTAGGAAACTCCAGTGTATCTCACACTTTCATGATTTTACTTGCTGCGTCATACAGTATTGCCTTAAGCAGAGTTATGTGCTTCACTGTAATTTGAAGTCACAACCATGATCATCAGCTGCTGAGGTGAAGGGGCTGTTTCATGCCACACAGCCATCATTGTGGCTCTCCTTATATCAATGGTGATTGGTGTTGAACCTGCCACACTTACATCTGGCTGCCTTATCTCCTGTGTTGTTTCCAGTATTTGTGCTTTKGTTTTTTTCTCTCCACCTCCTGTTAAAGGAGGGTGCTGATAACTCTGCAATTCAAGAGGCCCGATAGCTAAACCGCTGCTCTAGATCTATCATAGTTCAACACTAGCCAATCTATTGAAAAACAGATTTCCAGCTAATTGGGGGACAAGTTTCTAAATATGCGCAGAGCTTGCCACCAACGTTTTTTTTACAAGTGTTGTCCTCATTTAGAACATTGTTTTCTTTTTCTATTTATGGGTTTTTTTTAAAGGTCAAGTTAACCTGAAGGCTKGAAGTGGCTTTATGAGTGTACCTTCTGCACTCACAGAAGGCTGATGCAATGCTTGCATTGTTGACAGTGGCTGTAGAAATTGGGAGAGCTAAGACCCACTGAAGCAAGGGCACAGCCTTGGCAGTCATCTCCAGTGAGGCTGGGAGCATCTGCTGAACTAGACCTTGGGGAATTTAAAGCAGAGAAATCTCTTRGGTTTGATAACAGCAGTAAGTGTAGTTGTCAGGCCCTTTGCAATTAGTTGCAAATCTCATGGGTTGTAGCCACACCGTGTATTGTCCCTCGTGAGAACTAAACAAGGTACAATAGCACCATGCAGAGCTTGTTGTATAGAGTTCCCTCTGTCCTGGGGATTGCTGTGTGTCCTGAACGATAAGCCTGTGGTAYTTGGCTCAATGCTTCTGCCCAGTAGGGTGGCACTGAGCATTAAATGCACAATGAAAAAGTTAACACTCCTGTGTTCCTGATCGTTGTAATAACGTGAAGGGTTTATCTTAAACAGCAAAGAATCCCAAAGCAGTATTTTCATGTGTTTGCCCTGATTCTGGGGTATTTTTTTAATGAATTGCAAGCGAGCATGGAGAATAAATGGGTGGCTGAGGCCCCCTGGCGCCAGCAGAGTGCGCCRCACGCCTCCGGCAAACGGCCACCAAATTGCATTTTAATAATTACTTTGTTTTTTGTTTTGGTTTTTTTTTTTTTAATGTGCCATATTTACTTTTACTTTTTAACACAAAGAAACAATACTTTCTGATGCACTAATTGTTCACATGCAATTGTTTCCTTTCTGGAAACATGAACATTCCATCTTTCATTTGTCATGTCTTGTTTTGCAAAGCTGTGCAGAAAATGAGAAAGGGGATTCCGTTTGCCACCATTATCCTTMATATTTGCATTGCTGTCAAAAAAACACACAAGGATTTTTTTTTTTAATAAAATCTGTGCCCAAGAATGATTTGGAGGAAAGGTACACAGCTAATAGTATCTGAGGCTGTGGTGTAGGATTTAACTTGGGAGGGGTGCTGGTGAGGGAGGAACTAGATGGTTGTGGGGTTTGGTTTTGGTGTTGTGGTTATTAGCCATGGGGTTTTGGTCAAATTGTTAAGACCTTGAAAATCACTTTCAAATACTGTGACCTAAGATACAGCAGTGTGGACATATCTTAGAACAGATTCCCTTTGTGCTTAAAATTTATCTTAGAAGTATATTTTTGCAACTACTGTAAATTAGTACAGAACTCTCCTAGRAAAAACGTTAGCATCTAGAGGTTGGCTTCGTTCAGGGTAACTTAGTCATGGCTTTTCTCAGTATTTCTGTGTTCCACTAGTGTCAGAATTTGTTGGAAGCATGGCTTTTATCAAAATCTAGCTATTTATTCTTGTGACATTCCATYGGGTATGAATAGCAGCTGATGAAGTCAAATAGAGAAATTAATTTTGATGTTTAGTCAGACAGTTGGCTTGTCATTGTCATCAGTCTATAATACTACTCCTCATTTTGCTGTTGYATGAGTTTTTAATAAGAGAAGGTGGTGAACATCCTCCAGTTTGTTATTGTCTGTTACTCTTTAAAAATGAAATATAAAAAAAATTGGAATTTAAAGTTAGGTCTTTATAAGTAGATATGCTTTGCTTTTTGGACATTGTGTAAAACAGTGCCTGCAGAGGAAAATTTGCCAAACAGACCTGAAATGGCTGAAGGGGAATGGACAGAATGAGGAAGGGTGGAAAGTTCAATGCAGTCTGTCTGGGTAACATGAGATCTGTGCCTTTTGTTCTTATTTAGGGTGCATTTTGGAAGCCTATTACTGGTAATCTGTACCAATTCATGATCACTTATTGACAGAAACTCCTCTTTAAGACTATCAGTCTTTAAAATAAAATGGTAGCTTTTATCAAAATAAGTAGTTATGTTGAAATGTTTTAGGTAGTAAGCTTCATTGTTTCTTTCCAAAGATGGTAAAGTTGATACTCTCAAGGCTGTACAATGAAATGTGCTGAAAATGCAATTTGCTGCTCTTTCTTAYTTTAGATGTTGAGATGACTGAAGATTAAAGGCATGATCTAGTCATGCCTCTGTGCTGTCTTCTGAATAAACTCTAGCTAACATCTGAGTTTCAAAWGCTTTTGTTCAGCTGAACTTTTTTTATGAATATCAGTAACAGATTTAAGAAGAGCAAATAAAAATATAGGAGGCTTGAGATTTTTTATTTCTCTGATTAGTTAATGTATTGAGTCCTAGTTTCTATTGCAGATATTTTATGCTTCGTCARCATTTTCTGCTTTTCCTGAGGAAGTTCAGGGTGAAGAAACCTAGTTGTGGGATTKTGAGGACATGTGTATGGCACTGAACATATCCTACCATATTCAGTGCTRGTTCCTTAAACTATTCTGGAATTGTAAATGTCTCAATTTTGTGTGGAACAGGTATGGAACATTACATTTTTGCAGCTTAAAAAGGAAAACGTTCACTATAACATGTTGTTTGTTTGATTTTTTTTCAGCTCTTCGAGGATCTTATGTATAGCATATGAGGTTTTGCAAGGTTTGCAATATATGAATAAACATGGAATGGTCCACCGAGCTCTCTCCCCTTGCAATATTCTTTTGGATCGAAAGGTACWGCTACAGGAATAAATCTTGGGTTTGCTGCTATGTCATAGATGGAGACTGAACAGTCACAGTCCTTCTGGGGGGGAAAAATGGCATATCTGGAAATGTGTTGGCTTTGTTTATTTTTTTTTAAACTACAGTTTTCTCCCATTTCCTAAGTTTCTAATGCATTTCAGAATTCATTTTTTCCATTCTCTCCTAAACCACACTTTTTATCTTTTCTTCTCAAAGTGGTAATCTAAGTCTGCTTGTCATTATTATAATTATTTACAAGACCTTCCTAGCTGTTTGAATAGAAAAATACTTCTTATGGCTAATAATAATATACTGCAAATAATATAGATGCCAATAATATGTTACTTGTGTTCTGTGGTGATATGATACTTCACCTTTCTGATATCAAGATATTTTTTGGTTCATGTTAATTATTCAGATTTAAGTATCTGTCAATTCTGTTACCACAGACTATTGAGTTGGCAGTGTGAAATAGAATTTCTGCTCATAAAAGTTGAGAAAAATTAATAGCTACTGTTGTGCTCAGAGCAGTTTCTTCATCAGAATCGACAGCTAAAGAGATTAACCTGTCTGCATAACTCCTGTATCTATCCTTTTCTTACTCAGTTTAGGGAGAATAATTTGGTCCTCCCCTTGGAAGGCAAAAAGAAGGGAGAGGACAAAGGAAATAAGGAACACGTTTATTTTTATGTGTTTGTGAACAAATGAAAATCATAACGCGCTAACATGCAAAAGTACTCCAGGATTTTAGGATACTCCTAAAATCAATAAAAGAACAGAAGAGGGCTGTGAGACAGAACTTTTAAGCTCTCCCCTGCCCTTTGAAAGCTTTCTGATGAACCTTCTCTGTTGCACCATCTGGAGGTTGGCTGAGTGTATGGCTGAGTCTAATTCAAAATCCAGCAGAAATAAGGCTCCAATTTAACTTTTATGCCTAAATTTGTTGCTTTGTTGTTATCTTTTGTGTCTTCACAAATAAAAATAAAGCCCCTAGAAAAGCTGTTTGTTTGATGTTCGTGTTGATGCAGTTAAGGAGAGCAAGATAGTAATGAATTGATGGGAGGTCTACAGAAGCAAATCTGGTCATTGGAAGAATTGATGGAATAGTGGTCATGTTTAGGGAGTTCTAGGAGTCAAACAGGATTCTGAACAGTTTTCAAACAGGAAAAATGTTCAGTGGTGTATTTAAGCCTTTTTAATTTACTGAAAATATACTGTAACTTAAGTGATTTGCTTAATGCTCTTGAGAAGTAAAAACATTAGAAATAAGCACCTCTTTAACTTGTAGTGAACTTCTGCATAATAGATGAGACAGAAATGTAAAATGATGCTTTATAATTTATAGATTTCTGTCCTCTGAGAGCTAATGCAATTTACAATTTTTTTTTGGTTTTGGTTTTTTTTTTTTTTGTTTTTTTTGGGTTTTTTGTTTAACTTAAAGACGGATTCTTCCAATGTTGTATTGTGGTGCTACTGATCATTTATTTTTCCCTTTTCAGGGACACGTGAAGTTGGCTAAATTTGGACTCTACCATATGACTGCTCAAGGTGTTGATGTTGATTTTCCTATTGGGTAAGGATGTAGCTACACAATACAGATATATCAGAGATGTACTTTTTCAGGAAATAATTTATGTTTAGAGCACCGCTTATACRGAAGTTTCCGATAATGTCAYTGAAGAGRTTGTCATCTGACTAGGTGATATGAMTGAAAGATAGAGAATGGACACTATSCCAGCTTGTTAGCACAACTCTGTGTCAGTCCTTGTTCCCTAGATATGCCTTCCGATGCTAACAGTTCCTTGGTTTTCTAATTTCAAATTTAGGAAAATGTGCAATCAGTACTTTGCTACTGGCCAACAATGTAGGCTTTCTGTCTCTTTAYAATTTTATAATTTTATGATTTATTTTCAAGTGATCATACCGTATTACAAATCACTGCTTTGTTGCAATGGTTTTTTTGCCACTTTTTGGTTTTTTTGAGGTATCATGTTGTTTTCAAATGAAATACTGTGCTGATTCTTAAAGACATGGCCAAAAGAAGYTAATGTTTCTTTTTAAAACATGATTGCAAATCAGATTTATTTTAGCTACTATGGTGAGKTCTTGACAAAATCAAAAGGTGATAGTATTATTTTTAAATCATCTTGTAGCAGGTAGTATATGTCCTTAACACTTTTAGTTACTTTTTTTTGCAATTTCAGAAGTTTTTTGATGGGAATACACTAACTTGTGAAGAAGAATATTGCCTTCACTCCTAAGTATGAGTCTAGGATGCACTTATTTAATATACAAATGCTGAGACTCAATGTATGTTTTCTCTAAGATATGTAGACATACTGTTTTGAAAGCTGCTGTTTCCTTTCACAAAAAGACAGAACCAATGATTGGGATTTCACCTTTTATGTAGTAAACACTACTTTGTAGTGAAACTTCACTGCAATGTGTAGATTCTAACTGAATAAAAYAGAACCGTCAGTATTCTGGTTCCTCAGAATACCAAATTATTCTGATTATATAATGGAAAGTTACATATTTTGGACAGACATGATATTATCTAATGTTGCTGCATCTTTCYAGGTACCCATCATATCTGGCACCTGAAGTAATTGCACAGGGAATAGGCAAACCAAATGATCACACTCAGTGTGAGAAACCGCTGCCTTCYGGCCCTAAATCAGATGTGTGGTCTCTTGGTGTAATATTGTTTGAACTTTGCATGGTATGTAAGAGAATAATTTAATTGATTTTGACTCTGGGGGAATAGTTTCATTGATTTGACTGTGCTTGAGTGTGGGGTTAATGACATCTTGCCCATGACCTAAGCTCAGATATCAGAATATGTTAGCATTCTTACCTGGACAGTACTGGTTGTTTGAAGAAAAGGATGTATTAGGTGTGTAGGATGGTTGGTATATGTGTTAACTGTGGAGTATATGTGTTAACTGTGGAGCCACAAGGATGTGACTGCAAGGCTGTCACAGTTAAAAGAAGTTACCAATGATACATTTTTACTATGTGATGGTGTAAAACTGTTTCTGCTATAGTTGGGGTAAATAAYATTAGTTTTRATACACCTGAAATWCRCATGTAGAAGCTTATATCACTGTCTTTGTATATAKATGGGTTACAACATTATCCAAATATTTTCATGTAGTTGCTTTTCCTTTTAAATTAAACTGTCTTTTGACTTTGTTATTTGTTTAGGGGAGAAAATTATTTCAGAGTTTGGAGATAGCGGAAAGATTGAAATTTATACTTATGTTAGGTAAGTAGCACAAAATCAATTTTTCAAATTTCCAAGCAGCTCTGTGATGAGAGCTTTACAGACTAATCAGCTTATAATGCTCAGACATAAAGCACTTTACCTTTGTCATATTTTGTCTACAGATTTCAACAGGCATTTGCAGTCTGGTTACTTCTCTAGTGAAAGTACAAAGCTGGATGGCAGGGAAAAAAAACCTTGGGAAGAGCTGGCAGTGTGTTAGAGTAAGGGCAAACTATTAAAGGAAAAAAAAAGAAGAGGAAAGGAAACAAACTCAAGAATGATGCTCATTTTCTTGGTTATTTGTTGGTTTATGTTGCAGGAGGATTCTGAAATCAGTTAGGAATTGATGACACTGAAGAAAACTGTCCCCACACTAGCAGTGCCAGTGTAGTAATGGCCAGACAGGGAGAAGCAAGGCTCAGATAGGAAGACAGAAATAGGAAGAGAACTGAGAAGTGTTTTTTACCAGGCCCAGACTTTTGTCTCTGGTTTCACCTTTGAACTATAAATCATTACTATAAATGTGGAATTTTTGCTTAATGTACATGAATCTGGAAGTGGGACTACTCTTGTAGCTTTTAAAACTCGATTTCTGATGGTATTTATGAATAAACCGTGAGAGGRGAAAGCCATGAATTTGCAATTTGAAGCTTTAGCAGTCAGTTGTTATTATCCAGAGCAAATAGTAATACTTTTAAAAGTAATTGTTAAAATTAAATGTTTTTCATTCAACAGTTAGTGCTTGAGTGCTGAGATTCTGACTGTTTTGGGGATCTGGTAACAAAGCTTCCTGAAGCATCTCCATCCCCTTCARTCTGAATGCAAGTTGTTGGTTTATCCACTGAAAAGCATTTATGTCYTGACTTGGGAATTATTTATTCAAGTAATAAAAAGAAGTTCTAAAATACTGCTAGCATTATCTGCAAGTAACAACAAAGTGAAAAATYACTTTAAGAGTCATGTAGGTACCCTTACGTTCATTCAGGGATTTTTWAAAAATGTTTCTATTTATAAGTTGAAAGACTGTTAAAGTTTATTTGGCAGAGACTGATACGCTGGATTTACTAGGCCTGTAAAAAGATTTTCACTGTCAGCTTAGATGTGCTACTTAACTTACCTAGGCTTCTGTCTGCATAGGTTATAATAATTTCTATTTCTGATTTCGATAGTTTACATTCAAGTGATATGGCAGTGTCAATAAAAAAACAAAATTAAGTTTTTTTTTTTTTATTGGAGTGGACATTTATCTGATATCCTGTTTAACTGGTATCCCTYTGTTAGTGTAATCTTTAACTTTTTATTGTTCTGTTTGTATTTCAAAGGMTGTGTAGATGATATTGTAACTGTATTGGCTGAAGAACATGGTTGCCTTGATATTATTAAGGTTTGTGAAACTAGTTTGCTCTTCCATGYTGTCTTACCCAGAATATTTTATTATTTGTTACATAGTATTTCAATATTTTTTTAAAAATTCATTTGRTCAATATGGARTATGATGAAAAGTTTTSAAGTCCAAACTGCRTGTCTCAGACCCTTTCAAATAGCCRGTACTGGTAATATTGTTCYCTAAAATTGCTGTCAGTCTTAGCAAATGTTAATGCTCTCTGGGTAGTTTAATATGTTATACATTTTCTTTAAAGTATYGTGGTTAAGTAATTTTCTTCCAGAAATTTATCCTTTCTGGTCCACTTTGCACAATCTGATAGTGTAGGTTTGTATAGTTCAACTTTTCTTTACCCACAAAAATGATCACTGAATTTTAGTATCTGTATATTTTGGGACATTATGTGAATGGTTCTGATTGTTAGCAGAAGGAAATTGCCAGGTATTGCATTGTTTCCAGAAGGGTACAGAATATCTAAATTAAAAATAAGTGAAAAGCTGCATACATAGCAAAATTTTCAGGGTTTTTTTCCCTAAATCAAATGTAGGATTGGGAGGTGAGAAGAATGACTTCCCCAGCATTTTGATCTCACACAGCTAGCCTCATGTGCGTAGGTGTGAAATTTTATTGCCCTCGAAGGAATAGCCTTATGTTAGAAGTTAAGTATGAGCCAAGTGCCTCGCTGAATTAAGACTGTAATAAACAGACTTCCTCCATATTTTTCTTGTGTTCCAGGACCTTTCTGAAAATATCATAGCTCTACTGAAGAAATGCCTCACATTCCAGCCTTCTAAAAGGCAAGTATTCGGGCAAGAGCCTGGTAAACTCTGTGGGCTACTATGAAATGAAAAGAACTGTTACTAAACTTTTTTTTTGAATACTGGTATTTGGGCTACCTATAAGAAGTTCTCAGTTTTGTGCTTTTCAGTGTGTAAAAGAGAAGAATTAGTKGTCTGAATGTGGGCTGTAAACAGACTAATATATTATGCTGCGTGAATTGAAAAACACTGGAAGACATTTTTTTTCTATTAAAATTTCTGTAATCCAATATAATTTAAAATAACTTGCTARTATTTTTTASTAGGAACCTTTTTTTGCTGGAATCCAACATTTTTGAGAGTACTTTCATTATAATTGTTTTATCCTCTTCCTTAATTCAAGGCCAACCCCAGAGGAACTGCTGCATGACAGTTTGTTCAGTGAAGTATCCTCACTATATCCTCCTTTCCACAAACCTGCTGGTCTGTTCTCATCCTCTCCAAGGTGTGCTAATTTAACACTTCCTGAAGACATAAGTCAATTATGTAAAGGTAAAAGCAGGTAGTGGGACAAATGTCATTGGAGGGGGAAGGAAAAAAAATGTTATTGCATTTTCTCTCCAACTAATTATTTAAAGAGATTCTTRAATGTCTCTACACTACATTGGTGCAGTAAGTTGTTTAATGGATGGAAACATGGGCAAAGATGTGTTGAGGGATGWATGCAAATGAAAGGAGTCAAATCTTAATTTTGTACTTCAACCTCAAGGGAAAAACTAAAATTAGTATTCAAGTCCAGGTTTCAATAGCAGTGTCATCTTTTGCCTTTAGAATTTGGACATGAGCATGTACAAGATAATTGGATTCTGCTAGATCATAGCATCAGATGATTTTTGGAAGTATTGGAGAATAAAGTCTTTGTGAAAGAGGTCACATTCTGGACTAGAAGATTATACTTCTAAATTTTATACTACAATGTATTGAAAATGTTACCACTCTAAAGCCTCACTAATTTTTTCTTATGAATTGGAGGTGTTTAGAAAATCTCGTTTAGACAAAGATTTTATACCTTGTTAGAATGAGTATGGTATGTGAAGGGAAGAGAGATGAAACTACTCCTACTGAATAGTTATAACTTGTTTCTTCTTTTGTGTCTTAGTGCTGCGTATAAAACAGTGTTTTGATTTGTTTTGTTTTGTTTTCTTTCAAAACTCTCAGGAAGCAAAAGTCCACACTTCGATGTATTCATGCGAGTTGTTCATGGCAAACTGCAGAAATACTGCTTTTTTACTGATTTCTTTCCTTAAATCTCCTTAAAGAGCACTTGCAAAGGGAAGGTCATTTTCATCTAACTTCACRTTAAGGTTTATGACCTTTCAAGCACAAGAATTTTTTTTTTCCARCAATATGTGTTTAGAGTTGTAGAAAGAAATACAAACTACCTTAAAGGCTGTAATTTATTTTTGTGTGATTTCTCCCAACAGATGAAGATAATGATTTCCTAGCAGAAAGATCAATTGAAGAGGTTTATTATCTCTGGTGTTTGGCTGGAGGAGACTTGGAAAAAGAACTTGTCAACAAGGAAATAATTCGATCAAAGCCACCTGTCTGCACACTTCCCAAGTAAGGATGGAGAAGCACTTTAAGGAGATGAATGGATGGATGGATGGATGGATGGATGGATGGATGGATGGATGGATGGATGGATGGATGGATGCTAGTGATTGCAAGGGAACATTTTAAATACCTGTGTATGTGAAAAATACTGCAAATGCCATTCTTAAACAGCAAGAAATTATCACTTCTTCTCTTACCCATTTTAAGATGTTACTTGAACGCCTTGTATCTGTCACCTACCTGATCTTCCTGTTGCTTTTTGAAATTGGAAAAGGTGAAGTGGAAAATACTGAAATGGAAGTCCCTAGATTTKGCACACTTTCCAATACATTAAGTTTTAGTAATAATGTTTCATTGTGCATCAAAGGCATATTGGTAATTGTAATTTAATTTGTTATGTAGCAAATTCTCACATTCTGAATTCCCTTTCACAGAGTAACAGTTCTGAATGGACAACCCACTTATTCAGCAGATCAGCTGATTACTCTTTTTCAAAATGTTTTATTTTATGCCTTAGAACTCTGTAACAGCATTTTAGTGGTTGCTACTTTTATCTTACTGCTGCACATATTGCAAGTTTATGTAGTACCTTCATGTTTTAATCCTATGATCTTAATAGCCTAATTATTCTCCCAAATATACCCCAATTTACTATTTCTGTGTTTAAAAACCAGGTGAAGCATATGTACAGCCAAAATGCAATATCTTTAAAAAAAGAAATTATGGAAATAGATTTTAAGTGTTGTTTTGGTACCAAAATAATTACGAGTTTTTTGAGGGATTGCTTATTTCTTTTGAATAGGTGCTTTTGAAATATAAGGGACAAACATTTTCCACCATACTGTCTGTCTTCAAGATGAGGAGTTAGTTTTAAAAATGGAGTCTAACTCCATCTTCTAAGTGATACTGAGAATGCTAGCTTAAATTCTGAAAATCAGTTTCATGYGGTATACTTTAAAAATATCATGTAATAGAAAATTTGTATATGCTCTATAGTGGATGCATTTGTATCCTTAGGTGGACTGCAACAGAAAAGGTCAGACTTCTGCTTGGGATTTTTTGTCATAATGGAAGTTGACTTTCATATGATAATAATATTTTATTTTTGCTTTTCACAATAAATGACAGTCCTGGTCTGTGCCAGATCGAGGAATAAAAGGGAATATTAATCCTGCATCTCAAAACTCTTCCTTTGTGTGCAAAGCTAAGTTACAGAAAACCTGAAATGTGCCATTTTACAAAAAAAAGCTATCTGAATAATTTAAGKTGATTGTACATTCCCTTGATAGCAGGTTTCATGCCATTCAGAGTCAATACAGTATACTTCTAATACCTAGTGTTTTAAAGAGGAAAATGCTTGATGTAGGAAAGTATTTTCCTAGCTCAAGTCCTGTGTTATKAAATGACCTGATTTTTTTTTATTGTTCTCCTTTTTGAAGCTTTTTATTAGAAGATGGTGAGAGCTTTGGGCAAGGACGAGATAGAAGTTCCCTCCTAGATGACACAACTGTGACTTTGTCTCTGTGCCAGCTCCGAAAYGTAAGAGTGATATTGTGCACTTGTTCTTCTGACTTCTCTGCAGAAACATTTGTTTAAAGGGAATATGTAACAGCAGCTCCTACTACTGTTTCTATAATCAGAATTTGTTGCTGATTCCAAGAGAACACTTCTTAGTGTCCAAATTAGATTCTGGTTTGTACTATTAAATTGCTTTGCCTGTGAAAGGTTATGAAACTTGATTTATTCTCTGTTCCTCTCTTTCCTTTTTCTGTTACCTGCTTTGTTCCAGTGTAGTGCAAATTGTTCTGTAGTATTCTCCATGGCTGCTAAAGCTATTTGGTTACTGTCTTCTGTATGCTTTAATTACTCTCTGTCAATGGTTCACATTATTGAAAAGAAAAATCAACCCAGTTCAGGTTTTGCTCCTCAAAAGCTTTATACTTAATGCWGGATACCAAGTTTCCACTAGCTGATTACTAATTTTTGGAATATGTAGCTATGACATAGCTAGTTCAAAAGWTCTCTTCAAAGCATTTTGCAAAAATACTGTAATGCAGTTTTCTTCCATCTTCAGTGGAAAAATCAACATATRATAACTCATTATTTGCTTGATGTAATGATCAGTTACAAGATTTACTGCATATATCACTGAAATGTTTTAATTARTTTACATGTCTTTACACACATAGAGCTTTATTGCTGTAGAATTGAGAAATTGTGCTGCACTAATTGCAGTTTGCTTTTTAGAGGAGCAAATGCAATTCTATCACAGTTTTCTTTTAAAAAAACCCTTTTTATGTGATTACAGGGTTTACAGAAACCTTACAGAAAAGGTGACTCCTTACTCGGCCACCTTAATTTTGGAGGTAGTGTGTCAAGCACTATGTAAACACATTTGCTCAGTAGAACTGCACTACTWCACACAAAATGTATCAAGACTGACCAAAGAACTGGGATATTTTCTTCACTTGGTCAGTGGGGCTTGGCAGACAGGAGAGAGGTTAAAAATATGGAACAACTGTTTTAAACGTAATATACACTGCAGTTTCTACTGTTGTTCTTACCAGAGGGCAGCTTTTTAAGGCTTTTAAAAARCATTTTAATCTSTACTTTCGGATATTGCTATCTTCTTCTATAAATACAGCAGGAAATAATTWTATACTGGAGTTTCATTTTGGGGAAGATGCGAGCCTGAACCTTAGAGTGTCAGTTGAAATAAATTTTTGAACTTGCACAATTTTTCAAACGCCTTTTATTGAGCAGAACATGATGCTTATAATCAAAAGAGGAGCWGTACTGAATGAACTGAGAATGAACTCTTCTGTGAGCCCCAAGAGGAACAGGCTGTGTGCTGTGTGCCTGCAAGTTAAGGGCTGAACTGCAAAACAGAGCACTGCAGGGAGCATGGTATTAAACATTAATCATGCACTATAAGATGTCTGAAAACKTCAGTCAAAAATCCAGCCATGTTTGTCTGTCACCTTTCCTGAGAGTGTCTGTATTTCCTAAAAGGTATTAAAGTTTACATAACTCTTGAGCTGATTAGAAACAAAGATGCAAGATGTGCAGTTGCTTTGCAGCTACTTGAATAGGAACTCCAGTAGAAAAACGAGGAAATKAAAAAGAGCTATGTAATACTATTGATCTATTAATCCATGGTCTGTAGAAACTATTTTTTCTGTGGAAATAGGTTTATGGATGAGATGAGATATCTTGAGGCAGGAGAACTTCCATCAACTCCAAAAGCCTGTATTAGCAAAAGTTTTTAGTGTTGAAGGCTGTATGCTTCATTGCTGCTGAAGGTCTGAGCTAATATTTATGTCTCAAGGCAAGCTACTGAATTTGGCAAATGAAATGCTAATTAATAGTTTTTGTATTCTACCAAGATTTCTACTTGAATTCTGAACAGTATTCTGATAACAAATTATTTTTCTTCTTCATTTCAGAGATTGAAGGATGTTGGTGGAGAAGCATTTTATCCATTGCTTGAAGATGAGTAAGTATGTGTGTAAATTCATACATCTGTAAGACACTGAATTTTTAGTTATTTGTTTTATTTGAGTGGCACGTTGCACAGCCAGACACAAATGTCTCCCAAAAGCAAAACTAACATATCTTTATTCAGCTCGAAAAGTTGAGAGCTGAGTAGCACTGTGCACTTAGGGTCCTGATACCAAAYCAAGGATCTTAGCTGGTTTCTCTGTTCTGGAAATTAATTGTTTGTGTTGAATATTCAAAATTTTCCATTTATACTTGTTTCTGACTTGGAAATGCTTCATTGGGTAGTAAGTTTTTTCAATGATTTRTTTTTCTTGCTGTTCACTACTATCCTAACTTTTTTTCTAGCCAGCCAGCTTTACCGCATTCCAACAGTGGCAATGAGCTCTCTGCAGCTGCTACTCTTCCTCTGATCATCCGGGAGAGGGACACAGAGTATCAGCTAAATAGGATTGTCCTGTTTGACAGGCTGTTGAAGGTATGGAGTCCTTGTGATGCTGGATAATGGGATGTGGTCTGTTAATTGGAAGATTTTGAAAGACCRAGTAATTGTAAAAGGAGGCAGAGATACAAGAGACCACAGTGGGAAAGTGGGGAGAAAACCCTTCAGAAGAATAAGAAGATTAAAAATAAGAAAAAATAAGTCTTTTCAGTAGTGATGAACATAAAAGTAGATTTTAAAGTATGCACATACTGATTATTTACTGATGTAAATAATTTTACATACTTTATTTTATAACAGACTAAGCTGTTATAGGTAAAAATATGCATGAAACATTTCTACATTTCCAAGCAGTAAGGTATTTGAAAACATAGCAGTGCCATGTCATAAATGTAAGGTTTATACTGGGGRAAGGAGTAGCAGCCCCTTATTTACATATATGCAGAGAGGTGGATTCCTGTTTAAGAATGAGAGAGCTGATGCATATTATCAAGTATAAACTAGAAATGTTGAATAAAACCAAGATGGATATGTAGTAGAAAAGAAATACAAAATGAAGAAAAAAATTGTAATACAAGTTTAGTAGATCTATCCAGTGTATACCAAAGCTCATGACTGCAATTATGCGAAAGAGTGGGTATTTTAACACCAAACAGTAGTCCTTCATTCAGGCCTTCCACTTAGGAATTAAATTTACTTTTTGTGAAACTTGCATTCACTGTTCAGGTGGTTTCATTTGGGGCAAGATTGTCCCAGGTTTSGGATTTGAATTTTTTCAGTTATATGATAACATTTTTTGCAGTAAATCTCTTCTCTTTGAAGGCTTACCCCTACAAGAAAAACCAGATTTGGAAAGAAGCCAGGGTTGACATCCCTCCCCTTCTGAGAGGCATAACCTGGGCTGCCCTGTTGGGTGTTGAGGTAAGAGCATTTGGAGAAGTTCCAGTACTGACTGGCGATGGAGTGGGATAAGAATGCAGTTGAAGCTGGAATGGGTTTAAAGATTTGGCAGGCAGAGTTACTCGAATTTCAAACAAAATGAGTCATGAAATCATGCAAATAAAAACAATGTTCTGACAAACTTGCTTCTCATCTATAAGATTATTTGATTTCAGAGAACGTATGTAGACTTGACTGCCTTTGATTTCAATTGTGGGGTGGAAAATAATACCCCAATATTTGGTAGTTGATAAGGGGTTTTTGTTTTGATTTTGAATATTTTTGATTATGACAGTTGACAATCCTGCTCCAGTCAGCAACAGTTGGACAAAACAGGAGGAAACACATGAAATGTATTTTTCTCATCTACCAATCAATGCACTTTCCAGAAACAATGTAGAACAKATAAATCAAATATAGCCCTTTTGGACAATGGAATATCCCAGAAATAAGGGCTCCTCACAGAGTTGCTTCMCTACCCAGCTTTTGGACCTGCCTTGCTTGCAATCTGCAGCAGTGGAGCAGAGATTCTTAAGATAACACATCCCACATTATTCAGGATATTTAGATTAGGATATTCTGAGTCCTCCATAAAATAGTCAACCAAAAACCTGTAAAGGTAAAGAAAAACTGCTGGTCAGGATTGTAGCCTTAGTCTTAGGAAATGAGTCAATTCTCATGCTTCAGCAACTTGCCRTCTGTACAATGTGGGTGTTTCCCTGTCCCATAACATTAAAATGGACTTGGTAGTATGCCTACCTTGGGATTTATGCTAGGACAGGATACTCAAGAGTCATCTATATTGGAAATATCAATTAACAAGCAGCTGGATTCAGTGCCTTTACAGAGATGATGCTGAAAGCCACTGCCAGTGGCTGAGGTAAGCACTGGCTTTAAACTGACAGCATCTCTTAGCTTGAAAATGGGAAAGTACAAAGTACATAGCTTTCTGTAYAAACAACTCAAAATCACTGAAGATCACCCTGAGGAGATCTATAGAAAGGTCTGTCCTGAGTTAATAATACTCCGGGTTTTGTTAAAATTAAGCTGTCAGAATTTTCTGTTCTTCTGCTAACTGAAGTTCTTAACAACAGCCAACTTCTGCATATCAGGGTATACGTTGTTATATCCACTTACGTTGGCAAGGGCTTTCTAAATTCAAATATTCTTCTTCCACATTTAGGGTGCCATAGAAGCGAAATACGATGCCATTGATAAAGACACCCCGATTCCTACAGACAGACAAGTAAGACTTATGGTGTTTCCAAATACTGTCACTTCAAGATCTTTCCCACCTGTCACTTGCCTATTTCAGTACATGTGGTGGATAATACTAATATGGTTCCCCTTTCCCTTTAGCCTTATGATGTAGCAAGAATCTTGCAAAACAGATTGGCACAAGTACTTTAACTCAAAACATGTGGAAGGTGAAAACCTCTTWTACTTTATAATCACTGTTTTTGTAGCAGCAGCAAAGTAGTGAGCAATATTAATGATTTATTGTTTAAAAACCTGGGTTTATCAACTGCTTGCTGTGCCTGTTGAACCTTGTATCACATAATGCTGAGTACCTTGAAATCCTGTAAGGTGAGCTATACTTCACAGAAATGGGGATTTGGGCAAGTTGGTTGTCCAAGAAGAGAATGTTCTCAAATGTTCTCTTAGCAGCATAAAAAGACATTACAAACAACAGCTGTTTCCTTTTAGCTGGGTGAAAAAATACTGTTGCTCCCAATCTGGGTGCAACACTGATGACTCTGATTTGGTTTTACCTTTTACAAAAGGTAAAAAAGCATTATTACCACCTGAAATGAGTCCAGRAGTAAAAAAAACTATAACTGTCATCTGTTTTATGCCTTCTTCAAGGGCTAGAACTCTTTTAAAAATATGAATGCAGAAAAGGAAAAAAAAAATCTCTACTTTTAAACTTTGACAGATCTGTTAGGTCCCCTGTCAATTTTGGTTTGGAGAGTGGTGGAGGAAACAGACTGTTTATGATAGTGGTCTGACTTACATTTTTGGCTGACTTCCAGCTCTAGTGTTGCAAGATGGCTGTAGTACTACCACACTCATCCCCATTTCTCTTTTTATGCTTGCCTGTGGTGCAGATTGAAGTTGATATTCCTCGTTGCCATCAGTATGATGAATTGCTGTCATCACCAGAGGGTCATGCAAAGTTCAGACGTGTATTGAAGGCCTGGGTTGTTTCCCATCCTAATTTGGTGTACTGGCAAGGTGAGTTTGATTTAGTTGGCAAGGTCAGATAATTGAATGGAAGGGTCTATTGACTTAATATTACCCCCCACTTTTCACCCCCACAATAAACGTTTGAGTGCTTATATGGAGTGTTTTCCTTGCTGTTTTCTTTGAAGAATGAATCTGTGGGTTATTGCAAATTTAAATCCTAATAACTTTATTTAATTTGGAATAAAAAATTGTCTTACTTTTTGTTACATATTCACTCTTCATAAGTTTCAGCCACTTTATTTCAAAAAGAAAAGTTTGTTGCTTGCTATTAAGCTCCATGATAATACTGCAAAAGTTACTGACTTCTTGGGACAGTAATTGGCATTTCTTGCATGCCTTGGCAGAATAATCAATTTGGCATTATAGTTGAGCAATTTGAAATCCTCTCTGTTYTCATTCATTGATTTCAGATTTGTTCTCAGCATTACTTGTGAAGCCCTGACAATGCAGAACCTGTATATAGTGTGCAAATTTTTGTTATAAATGAATGACTTTATCTTGTGTATTAAAATAAAAGAGCTCTGTGCTGTTTCTTCATGGCTTTTCTCTCTTTAGGTCTTGACTCTCTTTGTGCACCGTTTCTGTACTTGAATTTTAACAATGAAGGTGAGTACCTTTTTCTGCAGTGAGTGAAGAGTATGTGCAATATATGCAGAGAGATGTGTGCATCCACTTACAGGTAGAAAGTTTCTAGATCTACAAAGGAATTTTAAAGCTCTTGTTGCCACAAGTCAAAAGAAATGGTTGGGTTTTGAAAACTGCATGTGGTATACTGCACTTCAAGCTGTGGTTCAAATACTGTTTATTGCCAAGTACAATAATGATATATAATAAAAAGCACAAATAACCTTGCATAGGAAAAAGCAAGATATGCTGCTGTAGTGCTTGTGTTTTTCAGTGAAGCTGTTGTTTAGCCTTGCTTAAGGTGAATATATTATCAGGTAATCWAAGTGTTAACCTGTCCGACCAGCTTTATTCAGAAAAGCTGATGGTAGTTTTACATRTCTAAAAGTTTATCAGATCACCTTTAGATGCATGACCTTTATCTTCTTAGAATGTAAATCGTTCATAACAGGGGTAGTCCAAGCTTTTATTGTCTTGTACTTGRCTTTCTTTATATAAGGTCTATGTGTGGTAAATCTAGTTTCTTAGGACAATGACTCCTATTATTCCTACTGTGCATGCAATCATTTTTGTGTATAGATTGATTCAAGTATTTGTGTTTATTATCTGCTTCATAATGAACCTCTTGAGGTTTTATTATGTTTCTGCCTCTGTCATTGCATCGTTTTTCTAATTCTTTCAGCTCTGGCATATGCCTGCATGTCTGCTTTTATCCCGAAGTATTTGTATAACTTCTTTCTGAAGGATAATTCTCATGTTATTCAAGGTAAGTAATTCCCTTTATTTGTTGTAGTTCTAAGATAAGTACAATTATGTGTGGATATATAAATATACTTTTTCAAGGGGTTGCAAAATTGGAATGCAGTTAGAGTCACATAGCTGTGCAAGAAAATTTGGAACAAAATAAGTGGTTAAAGATTCAGGCAGGAGAAAAAAATCCAGATGTGCRCACRCACACACACAGAAATGTTCTATATAAAATTCAAGATAAGAGTCAATCCATCCAGCAAAGTTGTGAAAGCAGTATAAATAATCCTTTCAATGTTACATTGTAAAGACCCTTCAGGTGATCAAAATCATACTGTTRGAGGAACTGTTCAAACAATGAGGGAAATTGAAAAGGAATAGTACAAACTAGGAGTTCCTCAGAAAATGGAAGTTATGGTATTCAGGAAAATAGGGATTTGAGGGGAATTTCTCATTGAGAAGATGATGTACAATCAGTACAGGACAGGAGTTGTAAACCCTGAGGAACAATGTTCCATAGTTCATCATTCAAAAAGTATATAGGTAAATAAGAAAAGTTAAAACAATAGCTAGGAGTGTCTGTTCTAATTGAAAATTAATTCTAAATTTTGTTGAAACATGAAAAATAAATTGTCTCAACCTAGAAAGTCACCTTGGCACAGTCTGTGTTGGGAAGATAATTTGTCTTCCAGACAGTTTTTAAAAATCAAAAGAAGCTGCTTCAAGAGCCATCTATAGTTGAAAGAAACAGGTGGTGATGAATGTTTTTAATTRCAAGCAGTTATGAATGTTTATTGAATACTGAGTGGACATGGCTTGCTGTCCTTATATTTCTTTTAAAGAAATTCTATTGTATATTTCTCATGAAACTCGGCAACTTTAAACATTGTCATTTCTTGTCTTTAAGACAGGTAATTAAGAACTGATTAACAAAACTAATTAGACATAAAATCATTTACATATTAGATAATTAGGAAAGAGCTAACATAAGAACACAATGCAGTGGTTTGGAGGGTTTATGTATGAAAGACAATGGGTAAGAGGTGTTATGAACTGAATAAAATAATAGGCAAAACTATTCTAGAGAACATGTTTACATCCTTTTGTCTGTAAAAAAAAGATTGGTTGCAGTAAAGTTGTCTAAAGTTGAAAAAAAAAAACATTCCTCTGGAGACAACTACTTTAGACTTCAAGATTAATAGCTTGGTAAAGACTTCTCTAGAGGTTATACTGTTCCATAAAACAATACTTTTGCTCTCCGGGGTTTCCTGTTGTTATTTCTAAGGAGCTTTGCAAAAATTTATATAAGCCAAAGTTRGAAATACAGGTCAGTGGGATTCTGTGAACCAAAGTAGTGTAGGCATTCATGAATTCCTGTTCTACATCTGCTATCACCAAAGACTCAGGGAGACTGGATCCTTTAGGATTCTTTCAGTATTCTAATTAATCCTTTCTAGGGTTGTGTGTTAAAAAACTATACATAAATAAAGRTTTAAAGGAAAATCATGCCATTTCCCACCTTCTTGAGTTAGAAGGAAGTGCTAAGAATGTGTCATTTAACTACCCACTRCAATTTTAGCTGCTTTGTGTCTTCTGTGTAGGGATGCATGGAGGGAAGCTTTCAAATTGCAAAATTAAAAAACCTAATTTCTGAGCTTGTAGCACACAACACGCTTTTTCTAAGCTTATCAGGTGTATTTCTCCTTACATGGAATAAGAAGCAAGAGCATTAAAGGAATKTTTGGTATGAAATGCCCAACAGAAATTCATACGGTAAAATTCCAACTAACTGCAAATGACTGTTTTTGTGCTTTCAACTGACCCTTAATTATCCACTAGTAATCTCACACAGTAATAATATTTCATGAGACTGGCTAGTCAAACAAAGATGGAATTTATCAACCTGTGGTATATCCATAGAGAACCATAATGGGCACAAATCTTCGTTTTTAAAATAAACRTGCTTCAGGGAGGCTAACTGGGAAGTTATTTTCAACAGCATATGGATGAATGTGTAGGAGGAATGTGTGGGAATGTGTGTGGTTTGCTATACCTTACTTGAGATTACTGGCTGTTTRATGAAATAAAACCAATGCAAGGTGTGCTTTTTAAAAAATTATTATGATGTAGTGAGGTATGAATTTAAGGCATGGATTCAGTTATCTCCCTAACTTCTATGTATGTGAATAAGRATAGCTTTGGCTGGAAACTGAGGAATTATCCAAAGCAATTCTGACACAAAACTCCTCAGGTCTATTTACCCCCTTACCTCCCCAGCTGGGCACTACCAGGGCARCTGTGGTATAGCAGAGATACAATACCAGAGTGAAGAGGCTGGCACTCCTAGGAGGCCAGAAACTTCATTGCAGGCTGGAGAAAAAAAGCTGTGAAATTCTGAAGCAGGCTCGAAAAGGTCTTATGTTTTTTTATTGCAAATTACTTTGGAGAATTAGGCATCCTTTCAAGTATAGTTTGCAGTAGAACTGTGGCTTGTTTCCCTTGTGTTCTTACAGCAAGAGTATTGTTTATCAGTCCTCCTGAGGCAGAATCAGCTTTTAAAATTTCTAGTCCAAATAGAATTATTTTATTGAGTGATTGTCCTTAACTTGCTGGTTTAACCAGAGAGGAGTTAAACTGAGTGCAGGTAATGAATATTTAAGTAATACAGAAGTCTATAAACARCTGAATATGCAGACCCGCTTCTCTTAATGGTGTCTAAGCATGGAATTWTCTCAGCAGAGTCACTTCTTAATTTTGTCACTTCAGGGATGAAGAKAAACAGCAATAAGGAGTTAATTGCTCTCTCCAAGAGAGACAGCAGTAGGCATCAAGTCCCACAGTAGGCTTTAAAGGAAGCAGTGGCAACTCTGGGTGGTTAATTTGTGGGGCTGTGTGGACTTGGTGTATGAGGGCTTTCATCTGGGGACAGTAGTCTGTGGAGCATTGAGATGTCAGCTTATTCTGGAAGCAGAGTTCACATTTTCTGTCCATGCTGCTCCCCAGGACTTGCTGTCCAGGCCCTGATTACTCTGTTCTTGGGAACATGGAGGAAAAGGAATTGCCATCAGCTACAAAACTGCAATGTTACTGCCTCTTCATCTTTCTTCTAATGGAGCATGTGACAGTGTGGACAAAACTAGGAGGGGGCAGAACAGAGAGAGAAATCTGTCATTGTCCTGTGTTCTCCTGTCTGCTTCTCTTCCAATTAAAAGCAAGAATTATTTGGACAACTTAATGAAGTTGTGCCCATCAACCTAATTAGCCAGGCTGAAAATGTAATAAATTTTATCTTTTATACTGGATATTTCTCCTTGCTGGTTACTAAAGTCTGTAACTTTGCATATCAAGCATACATCACAACCTAAGTGTGAACCAAGTAAACCATTGTTAAAAATCCAAATTCAGAAGTACTAAAAAAGAGAAATTAAATGTTTCTTCATCTATATTGAATATAATGGTAACAAGGAGTACAGTGGCGGTATTAATTTGCTGGTTTATTGTAGGTTTAAAATCAGTGGCTTTCCTTTCCTACAGCTCTGTTTTGAGCTGGCAGCATGTGGYGGCTTGTGTTTTTAACAACAGTCTTGGATTTGTCATTTCAGAGTACCTGACGGTGTTTTCCCAGATGATTGCATTCCATGATCCAGAGCTGAGTAACCACCTCAACGAAATTGGGTTTATTCCAGATGTAAGTGCTAAAGGTCCTAATAAGTGTTATCCAAAGGAATTGAGAAATGTAAAATGAGGGAAACTGGGATGAGATGCCTTTCCATTTTCTACTATTACTGTTTCAGTAGCACTTTGACAAAAGTGAAACTTTCATATTAATAGACCTTCCTGAATATGCTGATWAAATGGTAAATTTTGATTCTTGTTTTACCTGCTTTAGTCCTTCCTATTCTGCTGGGATGGTAAATACAATAAAAATACTTCTAACCAGTTATTATAACTTAGATCTATCTTAAAAGTTGTATGTGCATTTATTTTTGAGAAGTGGGTTAATATACAAAAATTAATGTACCCATAAAGTGCTAATAGCAAAATTACTGTAGTTAATTAAATGTTGTTGATTAACAGAAATGATACATTATTTTGCAAGTAATAGAGAAAGTGCACTCAAGTGATCATCAACCTTTCAGATATGTCAGACCTTGGAAAATGCTGTCACAAACACGGGACAAGTGCATAACATAGACACAAGTTCTATGCTTCCATTGGGAAAAAAGTCACTAAGATGAAGGAAAATGAAAACTGAGAACACAGCCAAAACATAGTAGAGAGGGTGGGCTTTGTTGGAAGAAGCAAAACAAGGTCTTCTTTAGAGCCTCACGTCTAGCTATCACTGAAAATAGAAAATCTTTCCTCCTTTTTTTCAAGAGGTGTGTATAGTCAAGAAAAYGAAAATAAAAATGTTTCTCTGCTTACAAATACTGACATTTCTGAAAAGTAGATTTAGGCAAGGCCATAGAGATAATGTTAATTGATATGGTCTGTATCATTCTGTATTTGGCATTAGGAAATTTGGTAATTACAAGCTGGTTATAAGAACAGATGACTGAGAGGTCAAAATGGAAGAAGATAACTAACTCAGGAGATGTTGATTTAGAAATACAAATTTCATAAGTAAGAAATTCATATGCATTGCTTCTATAAGCAATACAAAGTTTAGTGTATCAGAAAAGCCTTATTCTTATTAAGAGRTATTTTAAGTTGGAGCACCAAGGCCAAGCCTCTGAAAGTCTTTTGTTTTACACAGTTACTGAAAGAATTTGTGGGACTTTGGACTGGCAGATACTAGTTACCACTGTTTACAAATATTGTAATGGAAAAGGAAGTATATAATTTTAATTTGTATTTTCAGTGTGTTTTTAGTGTATTTATATTGTTTGACTGATAAAAATTTAGGAAATACAGTGGTGTTAAAATGAACAGAAGAGAAAGCCAGTGTATTGCTTTATAAAGAGAGGAGTTTGAGAAAGGCACATGTATTTCAAATGATGTGCATCCAAGGAGGACAGGTGAGAGGAAGATGAAAGCAAAGTGAGGAGAAGGAGAAAGCGTAAATATTTGGGTAGATGAAGTGCAACGGTTAACAGCAACATTTAAGTTCCTGAGGGAGAATCAATTTTGCAGCATCACTCTATAAATGCACTTGGTGTTTATTTTCTAAGGACTGCAGATGACCAAAACACTTCTGTGTATTTTCTTGAGGATGCTAGTTCCCACTAAAGAATTAGAGGTGTAATTTCCCTGACCGCCTTACAGATCCTTGTTTGGGGTACTAATCTACGTGAGAGCTTTGTAACAACCCATCTTGGGTCCTACCTGATATTTCAGCARCTCATAGTGTCTGTTTATACAGTTACAATTCTCCACTGAAAACTTCCAAGGTACAAGTCAGATGAAATAATTTAAAATCACATGTTTTGCTGCATTTTAGTTTCTGTTGTGCTAGTCGTTTGGAAGCACAGTCATACGTGAGCCTTGTCTCTAAATATTACAGTCTAGAGATGATTAGGTAATTTAATAAACAATTGCAAAAGAGGCATTTTTTTTTAAAAAGCTCTGGCATTGAATAAAAATGCAAGTTCTAAAATTAACACTCACCTTTGAAGAGAGGTTGTCCTTTCTAACTTATCTGTCAGGATTTGGGATTTTTTTTAATAAGTAAAAGTTGTTCTGTCTTTTAGATTAGTCAGACAGGTGATTTTTTGTCACTGTAATAAGGCAGCACAGGATCCATCAAGGTGAAGGATATGCACTGTAGTAATGAGATCTGAACCAGAGTTTCGTGCTTGAGTACTAATCCTATCAAAGTAAACCCTGATTAATCTTTCATCACTGGAATACAGGCTCTGCTGCAGGAAAGATTGTGTTCCTGGCACCCTTCTCATTTGCTTCAGGTCACGTAGTTCTCAGAATATTGAACACTGCTGAAGCTTGAGTCATTGTGAATATTATTAGCTGATGTGGTGCCTGGATTAAGTACATTGCTGTGGCTATGTGATTTACATGCAAATAKAGGGATGATATATGCAGTGAATATTTTAGTTCTTCTTTTCTCATTCTCCCAAAATTTATAGTCTATCCCCACCCTTTATAAGGCTTTATAACACATTCCTTATTTTACTGAATAATTCTGACCCTAAACAGCAGAGCATTTCAAACTGAAGRAAAACAAGAAAGTGTGCAATGTTGCTAAAAGTGCAGCTATAGCCATGAATTATTCTAAAGCACTTTCAGCTCCAAATTATGGAAGGGAGCCACGGTTGTCATCTATCCATTAACATAAAAGGCAAGCTGATTGCATCCCTTAATATCACTGTGCTGAAGCTGCTGGCACAGGTAGATACGATAGCTTGGTTTTGGTGATATGCACAAGGTGTCAATAATAGGGCTTCATCTTAAAAATCCTGCCCTTGAAGTACTTTATCTCTGTTTGTCATGTTACACCTTTACCTGATGATGAATCTGAGGAGGAGTTTCTTGCTGATATTTTTATCTTGTGAGGAAAGTGATCAGTCACAAGTTTTGTTTGTGTAGGTACATATAGGTGGGTAGAAACTAGTATTAAAAATGTGATTCAATTTGCCTTATCTTTTGCACCTTTCTGTAGCCTTTAAATATGATTGTCTAGGCRCCATATAGGATTGAAGCTAAATATATGTGTATATATTTAAAATGTGGAACAGGAAGCTGAAAGATCAGGAATTTGTAGAATAGACAATTTCCTTTGGAAGGAACCTAGGGCACTCACATAGTGCAAGTGCCTGACCACCTCAGGGCTGACTCAAAGTGGGCATYMTCCAAATRACTCCTAARCACTGACAACCYTGGGGCATCAACCACCTCTCTAGGAAGCTTCTTCCAGCGTTTCATCAAGCTCTGCTAGAGAAAGCTTCGTAAAGTCCAATCTAAATCTGCCCTGAATTATTGAGTTATTGAAAGCTTGAATTATTCCAATATATCCTGTCACTGRATCCCAGGGAGAAGAGCTCAGCACTTCCTTCTCTACCTCCCCTCCTCAAGAAGCTGTAGAAAGCAAAAAATTAGTTTTTATTAACAACTGAAAATTAAAGCAAAAGGCAGCATATGGGACAGTTGTTAGGACRGCTCAGCAAAATAAAATTCTGGTTATTTTTGTGTCAAAATACATCCAACAGGAAAAAAGAAAGAAACATATATTTAATAGGGGGAAAAAAAGAAAAACTTCTTTCACTTTGGCACCTCATATAAACCATAAAACAATATATGGTACAGATAAAGTATATGCAGAAGTTACTGAAGCATTAGTAATAAGATAGTAGATTTTTTTCTTTTCATTTTGTTAAAAGGATTTGTTTTATTCTCCTTGAGAAAATTATTTGGGCCTCATCACACCACAAGTGGAGTCAACAATTGGTAACAACATCTATAAATCATTTTTACCATCTCTAAGTTATTTTAATAATACTGAAGACATGACAGTTTTCCAGTTTCAAACTGTTGAATAACAAATAGTCAGGTGAGGATTCTTCTATAAGATACTGCAAGAAAAATTTTTACTCCTGTTACGGCTGTAATCTTTAAAACTGTAGATATTTAACCTTAATCTCAGCTCTGTAACTCTAAGAGGTGTGGAAGGTTCAAAGAGATTTTTGAACTTTCCTAGAACTTTTTGGTAAACACATTATATACACACACAAATAAGAAGTTGTAAAAAAATTGGCATTTTTGATGTTTTCAAAAATCTATTGTTGAATTTTAAATAATACATTTACATTATCCTGCCGACAGGTACATAACTTCCTTTCAGTGTTCATAAGGTACACCTGGATCATSCAGAAGAGCTACTTTATTCTTACAGACTTTTCACACAGCAAGAAGCTTGTGTGTACCTTTTAATGCTTCCTAACATAACTACCAACAAACATTAAGTCATTTTCACTCTTTTCTTCCTTCTGAAATCTCTTTACAAACAAAATCCCCTGAGCCTAAATTTCTTTAGAACTAGTCTTTACAACTGAAATTTCAATCTTCTGTAGACACAAGTGTCTAAAGCTCTCATATTCTGAAGGAACAGTCAAATAATAAAACAGTCTAGATAGTTTTAGCAGGCAATAAAAAAATCGTTATGGGAAAGGCTTTCATCAAGATTTGAACCAGTACCTCTAAGACCTTTTATGTCTAATGGAAGGTGCACTCCTTTCAAAACATGGCCACCAAGCTATAGCAAAGTAAACATCTTCATCCTGCTGAAAAACGACAAACTGCATCTCACAGCTCAGGTACTGAGCAKAATTTATCATAACAGATTGCTATTGCAAAAGCATTTATCTAGGGATAATGGAAATATGGAGAATGAAACCTAGCCTAAGGTCAACAGATTTTAGTTTTAACTGAAAAAACCCTGTGGATTTATTATTAAGATTGTTTGAAAGGGAACTGGTGTTAATATATATATATTCATATATATATTAACTTCATATATAAGAAATGTCCAATTACTTACTTTAAAGCACAAAAGAGCTTGTATTTTATTAGCAAAGCAAAATTATTATGGCACTGCTCCTCTCAAGGTCTCTCTGAAAAATGTGTTGTTTCACAGGCTCTGTTTAATCTGACTTATTCTCAGGCTGTTCCAGCGGCTCATATGCTACATTACATTACACATTAGCTRTATTTCCCAGCTCTGGAGAGTTAAGCGTCAGGTAAAACCACAACGTCCTTACATTTCAGGGTTCAGCACTGAAGGGTTGCAAACCTCTTTTTCCTGGAGCTCGTAATTCCAGGGCTGCAGCGTGSTGCTGTTCCGGGCGGCGGCCGCTGGAGGGCAGCATTGGCTAACGCTGTGTAACATCCCGGTCCAAGCGCATCCCGGAGCTGTGCCCTGGAGGCAGCGCAGCTCCTCCTTCCCTTTCTCTGCCATTGTGGTGTAATGCCACCCGTGTTGTGCCTTTCCTTTCCTTGCTTCCTGAGAGCAGTCATAATCGCTTCAGGTYTCCCAACACTTCCTTGTCTTAAGGCATTTTATTTGTTAAAATCAAAGGAAAAGCTCCCTTCAATACAAGCTCACCTGACGCCTTCTGCTTAAATTGTTTGACCTACTTTTCATGTCAGTGCTGATAGGTTTGGTRAGGATGGTTTAGAGTGAAGCAGTGGTTACGTTTTAGTAAACTTCAAAGCTTCACATTTTATGTATTTTCTTGCGTATTTCTATGTAAATGCATGTACAATAGGGGTGTTTGTGAAATTAGGAGAAAATGAGGATCTGCTTTGGTAAAACATTTTAATCAAATATATGAAAAGGAGAAATTAATTGCTTTTAAGTACCAAGGAAATAATATGGTTTAAATAAGATGTACCTCCAAGCAAAGAGGAGCCTCAGGCCACTAGGCTTGTTTTCCTACTRCATGGGCAGCAAGATATTGCATACAATCAGATAAATAGGTATTAGCTGAACACAACCACTGTAGGGGATATTTCAGGGAACAGGATATTTTATTATTCCCTCGAATGCCATCCATTTAACACATGACAAAGATACACTCAGGGAAATAGTATTAATTTTATCAGATTAAAATGGTGATTGAAATTGATTTGGTTTGGATTTTGAATGCTTAAAATTGATGGGCTGGAGGACAAGCTTCATCAAAGCCTGCTGAATATTAAAAGTGGTGTACTCTTCTTTACTTACTCTGCTTTAGTTTATGGACAGTATGGTTCAGAYCTCAGATGTTCAGATGAAGGCATAGGAATAAAATTTAGAGAGAGCTGTACTCAGAAGTTTTTCAGCAAATTGTGCATCATTTAGTCTAACCCGTAATCCAGTTCAGAGTTTATAGAATAGGTCATTTATTAACATAATATCAATTATGTTTTCAGCTCCTCATTTGTTTACTTCCAGGAAAAGCTTAATAGCAGGATTAATTTGCACTTTTTATGAGTTAAAAAGTAATGTATTAATATTTATGTCTTACTGTAAATCTTCATAGCACATGAGCTGTGCTACTGAGTGAAATTTAACAATGATCATCTCACTCTTGCATTCCAAATTTATGGGAACTTTCTTTGCAGTTTGATATTTCAAGAAAATAGAATCTGTTGTCTTTGTCTTGCTAAATACTTCATTGAAAAAATCAAAATTCTTAAGGTGTTGTAAGTTACTAACACGTCTTTCTCTGTGTGATGTCATGAGTATGAAAGTTTGCAGAAATTGAAGGTTTTCTGAGCTGTTGCAGTAGCTCAAGTCTCATGGTGGTGTAAGTGCTGAAGCAGGACACCTTTGGGTAACATCTGCCCTGAAATGGTCACAGTGGAACTACATAAATGCTTACATTGTTATTAAGCATTTATTGAGAATGAAACTGTCCCTAATTTCTTCACTGACAAGTATGCATTTTAATAAATACCAGCATAGCAGAAAAAGGCAGAAGTGATTTGAACCTGTAATTATTTCTATAAAACCATTTTCTTCTGTTGTCAAAAACATGTATTGAATCCAATTGGTTTATGCTTTTTCAGACATCCTTGGCTAATTTTTGCCTAGCTTAGTGATAATTGCAACAGTTTAGTAGAGCAGGTTTTTGAGTTCTTAAAGACTTTGGAGGTTATATTTTGCAACCCAGCCTAGTAAGGGTGATGATTGGGTTTTTTGGTTTTTTTTTTTGTTTTCAAACCAGTGTTACAAACAAGTGATTTGAAAAATTGCAGAAGGAGAAAAGCTTCTCAGGGGCTAAGAATTCTGTTATAGTGGATTTGCCACTGCAATTATTTTCCTTTCTAAATAAATTCATGCAAAATAGGTGATTTTTAGTGTAGTTGATAATTGTCATAGACATCTTTAGTTCTCAAAACTTTTTTTTGTTTTCTTCCCCCATCACCCTCTTTTGCAGCTTTATGCGATTCCCTGGTTTCTTACAATGTTTACACGTGAGTATGGTTTTCTTTCCTCTGATTAAATGTTCTTCTATTGCTTAAGCTTAATTTTTCTCACTTTTTCAGCCGAAGCTTTTCTAATTGGTATGATAGGTAACTTAGTACAATGCTTGTAATTTGCAAGGATGTGTTGTGAGTGTAAAACTCAGCAGTGCCTGTCACTCTCTGCCCTGATTAATTAGCATTTCTACTTTTATTTTTTGTGTTGCTGTTATTGTTACAGTATTGTATTATTGTTATCATTATCTGGATTATTTTACACATGCAGTATTTAGGGTGTATTCAGAGGAAGCTGTTAACTACTGAAAAAAGATGTAATGATCGTTAAAAAYCAAAACTAAACCTCACCACCATACCCTGCCCTTACTCAAATAATGTAAGAAAGACTGACTTTGTTTTTGAAGATAATAATTATTTTATTGCRCGTAGATACACTGTTGTTCTGGTAGCACTCATTTACCATATTTGTGCATGTATACTAGGAAAAAAAAAGAGCTTTATAATTTGGTGAGCTTTTAATTAAAGAGGACAAAGTTAATAAATTAAGAAAGCAATTAAAAAACCTCTTTTCTCAAAAATCTCCAGTTTTTTTTCATGTCATATCAACATTGGCAGAAGTTGAATTTAAATTTTAAAAGTGGCAGAATGAAAAGTGCTGATGTAYTATTTCTCTGATGAAATATCAAAGAACTTAATGTGAGATTCTTGATTGCCGTTTCTCAAGATCTTGACTGTAAAGCACTGGTTCTTGCAGTTGTCCATTTTTCTATACCTTTCATGAGAATCACCACATTTTGAAAACCAAGGAGATGGTTTCTTTAAACAGTCAAGTGCAATAAAATCTTAAAAATATTTAGCTGGAAGATAGCTTATTTTAAGAGAGCCACCTTCRGCTTTATTTACAAACTCCTGCTATTTTAAGTAGGCTTTTTTCCTTGTCTTTTCTTTATTCTGCCAGYTTTTTCTTTATTCTGCTCATTTTTTGTCTAATTGCAAGTAGTTGATCTTATTGTTTAACTCATTAATATGTTCTTTCACTTATTAGTGAAAAACTGATATTCCTGCATTAATATGTAATTGTACTGTACCAAAAGAAAAATAAATTACCTAATTTTGCACGTACTTGAAAAGTGAAAACCCCTGTGCTTCCAAGTATTCATTAATGAAAGAAGACTGTGATTTCCAGAGTAATCAAACTGCATGTGAAGACAAATATGATCCTAATCAGGCCGAGTCCTCTTTTCCCCCAAATGGAAAAGRAATAGCTCAGGATGGGAGAGGAAAGAAGTATACAGGCAACTCATTAACCTTCTTAATGTGTGCATATGCTTGTACAGTTTYATTTATTGTGCTTATTCATTACGCAGATGTCTTTCCTTTGCACAAAATTTTTCACTTGTGGGATACGTTACTGCTTGGAAATTCCTCCTTCCCRTTCTGTATTGGAGTTGCCATACTTCAACAGCTGAGGGATCGTCTTCTCGCTAATGGATTCAATGAATGCATTCTCCTTTTYTCAGACTTGCCAGGTACAGAAAAAACTGTTTCTTCCCTCTTTCTCTGTCTTCCCCAATGTGTTTCTAAATCTATTAAAGAAATCGTGCTAGAATTTAGGCAAACTCACTGTCAGAGTGAAGATTTTAACTGTGATTTGCTATAGTTAGTTGAAGTCTTTTTGCTGTCATCGGGAAGAATTCAGTAAGKTTGTTATTTCCAGGTGAAGATTGGAGTATTTCATTGTGAAATTTAGAACAATTTAAAATAATTCARAGCAACTGTTTGCAGTTATACTACACACAGACACAATCCAGTCGATAAGAATTTTTTTAATAAATTGATTACTGTGCGGARTAGTCCTTTTCCACTTTGATGCTGGTATTAACCTGTTTTCCTTTCAAACATAATTAAGCTTTAACTGTGAAAGTAATTAATGTAAAAATATTAGGGAAAGCAGTGTAGGAAGCCATTGAAATTACTCTGTTAAATGTTTCCATTTGAAATTTAAAGCTTTTGGAAGAACTTCCAAAATTGTATCAGTCTGCATGATCATTGTGTAGTTCTTTGTCTTTGCTCAGTGGGAGGTGATTAACCTCCATACAAACAAGTATTTACCAAAATAAATTGCAGTTAACCATGAAGTTTGGATCTACCTTTTGAGCAAGTATCTAGTAAGAAAGTAGAATGCATTTGAATTGAGTAAGCCATGTCACCTGGAAGATGTGTTTTAATTTGTAGTAACACTGAGGAAGGCTGCTGCACTCAGAGCATGCTTRCATTCTTTTATTAATTCCCTCTCTCCAGCTCGGGATGTTACTAATGTAATACRTGTCTTAGGTAAGAGGTGGCAGTATTTCAAATGTGTGGCTTTTCTTTATAAAATTCTAATTTTGGGGTAATTCCTGGGGTAATTATAGATTTRGTGAGCTCTATTTGAACACCATGTGTGTAATTCAGTTATTAATGATTCATTTAAAGAGAAGTTGCTCTTTAGAAGAATTGAAGGAGCGAATGAAGCTGGGAGGAGCATTTAAGCTTAAAAGGCCTTGTTAGGTGTTGCAGTCTCCACAATTGCAGAGTTTATTGAGGTTAGCAGTAGTCTAGGATATGACAASAGCAGATTAGGCTGAGTTCACAGTTGCATGAGTCAGTGAATTACAAATGAAGCTCTTTGCTTTCTTTAAATACTGTTGTCAGCAGTTGTCTCTCATCATATACCCTTCCATCTGGGTCTGGATTTCAAAATATAGCCTGTCTCCTACTTATTAGTTTAGCATGTACTATGCATTTGCTTCTKTATTTTTCAATTTGTAAGAAATTTAATTAGGCTGTCCCTTATGGTGTAGAATTTTAATTTTCTGTATGCTTAGTAATCTCAAATGCTCATGGTAAATTTAATGGGATATCTACARATGGCTGAAATGTGAATGCTGCACTAAAAGATTGATTCTCCCCTTGTCTTCTCCTCCCCCATGAGTTAGCTATATGTCTTAGTTAAGTATAGAGTCATTAATATTTAACTGATTTTCTTGCCTCAGGTCATTTCTCCATATTTTTTTTCTTGAAGGGTGCTAAACTATAGATTCCAATTTATCTTAAATCAGKTGATTTACTGACAGTGAAAGTACTTTCTGCTAAGGTCATGTATGAGAGCACAGTAGTTCTTATAATGCATATCTATTTATATAATAAAATTAAATCACTAAAATCTGTAGTGATATAATGTGCATGCATTCTGCTGACTGCAGTTGATGACAACTTTGCTGATACTCTGGTAGGAAATACAAATTTCTAAAAATATTTTCTTAAATTGGTGGTGTCTGTGATATTTAGGATGTCTACAGTGGCACAATTGAATATTTTAAGATTAATCTAAAGCATACCGTGAAACACTGCTAATAAAACTACGAAGGGAAAAAAGAATAAGGATGAAAGACAATCCTAGTGTGACCTAGAAGTTAAATGTTGTTGGTCTAGCTTAATCAGTAACTTTTTCAACATATAATTCTCATAGCCTTGTGCTATTTCTTTCTGACATGAGTCTTATTTCTAATTKAAAAGTATTGACTCATTATGCATTTTTCACCTGTGTCTTCCAAACAAGACTTCTGTTATTTCGGTTACAATAAATTGTGTGCCAAGGCTGAGAGTTTTCTGAAAGTGATTTGCAAATAACCTTGACCTGAAAACTAGGTCACTCCCAGGAAGAGGCTATTTTGTTCAAAACATCTGTGATAATTTTAAGCTAAAATCAATTGTTGCTCAACARTCTGAAACTCCTGTGATTCCTAAACTTTGTGTGTACTGGAATGGCTAATTTCAGGCTGCTGGTGAAAGCAACTTCCTTTCCAGATTGATAAAGGTATTTTACTGCAATCTTTCAACTTTGTGGAACACTTTTAAAATTTCTTATTTTTACAAAGCAAAAACCCCACTGCTTAATTTCCAGTTCACTGAATATAACACAATTTCAATTGCTGTTTTTAAATAATCATGATGTGATGAAAATGAAGGGGCATTGTGTCATTATTGGTCCCTTGATTCTGAAAACTCTTTCCAGTGCTTGTTTCAAAGCTTTGGCCGTATTTTATCTATAAAGCCAATACAGTTGGGCATTACTTGCTATTTTTGGGAGCTCTGTTGCAAATTTTGATTCCATTTTATATACTTTAAACAATGTCCTAACATATTGAGAAATTTATTTGAAGAATTTGACAAAATAATTGGTTAATTATAAATACTGGAAAATCCTTTTGCAACAAATGTTGCCTTGTAGCAACAAATGTCCTAGTTCATTCCTCATGGAGCTGTATGAAGGAGGCATACAAGCAACTGCTAAAAYGTAAACAGATTGTTTAGGAAATTTGTACCCCATAGTAAGGGGTGGGGGGCTTAATTTAAATTCTCTTTCATTTTTTTCTTTTATTTCCTTGTGTATAAGGAGCACTGCTAAGTACAAAGTTTTTTCAAACAATATAAATACCAGAGAATATTTAGGAAGTGCTATTTGAGACAGACAAACAAAACCAACCTGGGAGTCATTGCTAATTTTTTTACATGTAGTTTTGAGACTTAGTAAATTTTGTCCTATTCAGGTGRTGCAGAGAGAGCAAAGACAGTGAGCATTACCTTTGTTTTTGCTGTAAGTCTGACCTGTAGCAGAATGTGTCRGGAAAATGAGAATGGTAAGGGTGACACTACTATGATGAGACTCCTAAGGTACCAACAACAGAGGCAGGACTTTGCTTTCAGACCAGTGCTGATTTCTACTGAGACAGTTTGGATATCTCTTAATCTTATGTATCAGCAGATTTATAACCCAGAAGGCTTTTCATGCACTGAGGGCCAACTGGATAAGTTTACTTTAAAACTTGCAGGTTTTGCTTATATATTTGTCTTAAGAATCTTGCCTTGTGTTTGTGTGATAATGTCCATTATTCAACTAAATAATTATGGTTATTGTAATTTGACTTGAATACCCACTGTACAAGTACAAAGTCAAAAGCAGCTTTTCTTAGGAAGCTCTATGCAAACAGTTAAAGGATTCTTAGACCAATCCACTCCCCCTAGAATGGGTTGCAGTATAGGGCCTGGCCAAAAGATCTTCCTCCAGTGATCACTGCCAATGTCAGTGCTGACATACGGAGATGACTTATGGCCTTCTGGAGGGATAGTGGACTGATGAAAAGATGGGGACAGATGCTGTTAGAGAACAGGGAAATACCAAACCTAGATATGAGATAAGAAACATGCTCAAACCTTTTAGGTTAGTTCAATAAGCTCRTGTTCTGTAATTCTGGAGCAAAAGGAGGGTTCATTCTTTTAATACTGTGCACCCTAGGAAAGTGTCTTTTTGCTGAATCCAGGCTAGTCAGTGCTTCCAGAGGAAGAGCCTTGGCCTCAGATAGGTAATTCATTAAGACTGACTGTAGAAAAGTATTTCCAGTGCAATGAGGAGCTACAGTAAAATGGTGGAAGTGGAAAATAGAGGATTATACTTCATGAGACACAAGCATGTAGCTTTAAGAAGAAAGATCTGGTTGTCATCAATCCACAGACATTAATGATTTTCCAGGGAATAGAGTTTTCTAATTGGGAGAAATTATTATATCCATTGCCATTCTAGTGATGTGCCAAAATGCTGAATCCTGTGATGRTGGGAGCCATATGAGTGCTTAGAAGGATTGTATCCAGCTTGTAAATGGCTTAAARGTTAACAGATAGTGGAAATTCTCTATTATGATTGTATGGAGCAGTTTGGAATGATACATTTCTGTTAACAGCAGCAAAATTAGACACACATCAGAAAACTTTACTTCAGGTGTGTTTCTGACCCTAGGTAACTACCATTTTACTTTCTGCTATTTTGCTTCCTGAAAAAACTTTGTCTGCCCACATCTGTGATCCATATGCTTTTATTGTACTGGAATTTCTGGTCATTCAGCATTTAGTTAATATAGATCTGGTGAGAGGAAGAAATGGCAGTTGGCCAACAAGTCCACACTGAGTTTGTGGGTGTTTGGTGTCTGTCCCCATTTGTTTCACCACTCTTCCAAGGGAAATGTAACCTCGGAAATTAAAACACCACCTTTGAAGGGACTGACAGAGATACAGTGGTCTTTCATATTCCAGTGAGCAGTAGGGAAAAAAAGGTAGTACAGTGTTTTGATTAGGGTTTGACATTTTTCATACACTTTTGAAAATATCTTACTGCTTAGATTAAAGCTCTGAGGAGCAGAAGCTGTGCCAGCCCTTCTCAAAGGAATTTTTCTTAACTTCAGCTACAAAATTTTGACATTTTGCTCTGCTGTTGTTCATGGAAGATGGCACTGGAAGGTATTTTGCCATGAAGCTGACTGCYTTTTCAAGTTATACTAAAGCTGAAGAAAAATAGCACTTTGGTCTCCTTCACATGATACAGATGATAATGGTGTTGTGGCTATGACACAAAAACATTGATTGGAAATATYGAAAGACGTCAGAATTTAACAGGAAATCACTTTCCTAGTTTTCTTTTCTCGAAATATGTAGG